AGAATATAATAAATACATGCGAGTTATGTTATTTTTTTATGGTACTAGAGTTTGAACTCAGGGCCTTATGCTAAGCAGGCATTCTACAACTTTGAGCCATGCCCTCGGCCATAGTAATCTTTATTAATTAAATCTAAAATCTGCAAACATCTATGAAATGTTTATATAAGATAAACTGAATTACACTAAACCCAAAGTCAAAGGATATATTTAACTCTCAATTCTTCAAAGTACCCACATTTCTCTAAAGACTGTGCTAGTTCTCAGTTAATTATAGGTAACCTTTTTTGCTCTGGGTTTCACTAGTAATCAATTCTAGTCAATCACTATTGCCAGAAGCAAGGAAAGTCCTGCTCTTGCCCAGCCTTATGTGCTCTTCTGCTCTGATTCCCATAGATCTCTTAGCCAAAATGTCTAGACAGTATCACTAGAAATTGTTATTTATAATAATAGTAAAACTGTGAATGAGTCATTTTTTTTAAATTGTTTTCTTTGAAGGAGTCATTTTTTAAAAACAAGATAAAAGTGTGTATTCAGGACTATCCCTAACACTTGTGTACATGCAAATGTTCTTTCCTGAATAGGAATAAAATAACTAAAGATCCACAGAACCTAAGTTATAATCTTTTTTTGGCAGTAACTGAGGTTTGAAGTCAGGGCCTTCCAGTTTCTAGGCAGGTGATCTACTTGAGCCATGCCACCACCCCCTTTATTTATTTATTTATTTATTTGCTTTAGTTGCTTTTCAGGTAGGATCTCTCACTGTTTTGCCTGGGGCTGACCTCAGACCATTATCCTCCTACCCATGGGATCACAGGTAGATCCATCATGCCTGGCTTGTTCACTGAGATGGGCATCTTGATAAATTTTGCCTGGGCTGACCTTGAACTTTGATCCTCTGTAGCTATACCTCCCAAATAGCTGGGATTACAAGTGTGAGCTACCACACCATGCATTCTGACCTTATGTTTGCTAGGCAGGCACTCTTACCACTTAAGCCACACCTGGCATTCTGAGTTACAATCGTAATCATATATACATAAGCAGTTGAAAGCTATTTGTCTTAGTGTTTCAAGGAAACAGCTGAGAACTATTAACCTAGCAACAACCTGAAGATTTGTTATAAGGCACCTGGAATTTGATGGAAAAGAACTCACCCAGAATACTCCGCCATTCCAAGCACAGCACTGGAAGATTCTACTAACAATACGAGGCTCACTGGAAAAGACCGTATGTATTTGGCTTATCAGGCACATAAGTTATTTCCTAATTGTTGCTCAGCAGCTCTCCATTTTATACCTTCTATTGGCACAATATTATTTTTGAGCACCTAATGTTCTAACTCAGTCAATACGAAAAGATTAAAAATATTTCAGATGAACCAGCTTTCTAAAAATTTTTTTTTAATTCTTTTCTGAAATCTTAGGCAGAAGATTAAAAGAGAAAGGCTAGGATTGGAATTCTATTAATAAAAAAAGGCAGGGAGGAGAAAAATTAAATAAAGAAATGAAAAAAATCCACATAGACTTTCATACAAGTATCCATCAAATCAAATAATTTTTTCTGGGTCTTTTTTTTTTTAAATATAACATTTTAAGCAAAGATTCTAGTTTAAGTCAATGTGGGGGGAGGAAATCAACTGTAACATTTTTCTATGAGAAACTACAAAACAAATAATGGGGTGCTGAAACTTTAAGTCACTATGCAGTGACTTTAAGTCTTTATAAGTAACTTTAAGTCTTTATACTAAGGATCAGCTATTTCCTAAGGTGCCCTCCCAGGGACATTTTCTGCCATGGGTCTCCCTCCTTACCTCTCCTGCTTCCGCTCTATACTCTGGGCTCTCCGCTGTGCCAGGACACTACTTGCCCTTCTTCGACGCTGTTCCTCTCTCTTTTGCTGGATTCGAGCGTCTAGCTTTGAGATGGTACAAATACCCCAGATGGAGTCTTTGATTCCCTATAAACAAGGATATTTTTAGAAGGAAGATTATGGATTGGAGAAGACTTTCTGAAGTTACATACAAGAAAATATAAAGTAACAGTAGAAACTATAGTATTTATTTTGCTACAGAGCTGAAAGAGCCCTTTTTTCCCCCAGTTCTGTGATGGAACCCAGGGCTTTATGCATCTAGGCAAGTGTTCCACCACTGAGCTACATCCTTTGTCCTTAGTTTTCTTTTTAATTTTGAAATGATTCCTAATTTACAGAAAAGTTGCAAAGCTAATGAAGAACTTCCAAATACCTTTTGTCCAGATTCACCCGTTTAATATCTTTTTTTTTTTGGCAGTACTGGGGCTTAAACTTGGGGCCTCACACTTGCTAGGCAGGCACGCTACCACTCGAGTCACTCCGCCAGCCCTTTTGTGTGTCTGTGTGTGTGTGTGTGTGTGTGTGTGCGTGTGCATGTGCGTGTGCTGTGCGTGTGTGTGTGTGTTCTGAGTATAGGGTCTCACCAACTATTTGCCTGGACTGGCCTTGAATCAAGAGCCTTCTGATCTCTACCTCCCAAGTAGCTAGGATTACAGGCGTGAGCCACCAGTGCCTGGCTCACCAGTTCAGCATCTTACCATACTAACACACATACACACTTTTTTTCTGAATCATTTGGAAATAGGATGCTATATCATGTTCCTATACTTTCAATTTTTCAGTTTGTATTTCCTAAAAATAGCATTTTTTACATTACCATAGAATAGTTATCAATTTAAGAAATTTAATACTGAAAGAATTTAATGAAGAGTCCACATTTCAGTTTCTCCTTTATGGTATTTTGCCCCTCAAGAGTTCAGTCCAGAATCAAATATAGTATATAGCTACCACATCGCTCTCCCTTCCTCCCTTCCCTTTGCCCTTCCTCCCCCTCCCTCTCTATTTTTTGATGGTATTTTTTGTTTTTTTTATTTTTTTTGTGGGGGGAGGTGGATTTTTTTGTCTCACTCTGTAGCCCAGATGGGCCTCAAACTCATGATCCTCCTGCTTCAGCCTCCTGAGTGCTGGAATTATAGATATGAACCACCATGCCCGGCTTGGGTACTGCAATTTGAACCTTTGTGCTTGCTAGGCAGGCACTCTACCATTTGAGTCACACCTCCAGCCCTCCACTTAGTCTTTGTAAATCAACATGAGCTTCTTAGCCTTTGCCTTTCTTTTTGAAGAATACCAACCAACTATTTTACTAATTTCTCCCAAGACTTAGGTTTCCTTATGATTAGAACCCAAGTTAAGCATTTTTGGCAGGAATATCATAGTGATGGTGTGCCCTCAAGGTATCACATTAAAAGGCACAAAAGCCAGGCATGGTGGTGTACTGTAGTCCCAGCACTCAGGAGGCTGAGGCAGGAGAATCTTGAGTTTGAGGACTGCATAGCAAGACCTTATATATCCTGCCCATCAAGTTTTACCCTTCAGATTTAGCATCCATCAACAATTCTTGCCTAAACCAACCTTGCTAGACCAAGGTTGGAAAAAGACAGAGAGAGAGAGAGAGAAAGAGAGAGAGAGAGAGAGAGAGAATAATTACTCTAAAAGTAGCCAGAGGAAAAACTGTCCTATATGGACATAGGACAGGGAGGGAATTATGGAGACTATAGACAGTGACAAAGACAACTACCAAACATATTTGAAGAACTCCAGGTTACTGTTGGTGCTATAACACCAGAATTATCTGTCGCCCAGTTCAAAGAACTGCATTCATTTATCTAGCCATCCATCCAACCAATCATATATTGAGCAACTTCAATAACCTAGCCATTGGTCATATGAAGAACTCAAGAAACTTATAACTCAAAAGGAAAATTATACAAGTAAACCCAAAAAATTACATTACAACTTAATAAGTGCCAAACAAATTTATGTCCAAAGTATATGGTAGCACTGGGGAAGTTAACTTCATGAAATGGCAAAAAAAAAAAAAAAAAAAAAGGATTCTGAAACTAATGGCCAATGTAGATTTAAGGATGGCATTCTTATTGCCTGTTATAGCCAAAACAAATTTTAGAAATAATAGCCAGGAGACACAAAAGGGGCTGGCCATGTTTAAGTAATCTGTACTACCTGCTGATTAGAGCATAGTTTGGCAGTATAATTTTTGGTCTTATTTTGCTTTTAACTTTTTTTTTTTTTTTTGGTTTTGTTTTGCTTGAGACAGTGTCTTGCAATACTGTCCAGGCTAGCCTCAAACTCACTGTGTAGTCCAGGCTGAACTCATGATCCTCCTGTCTCAGCCTCGTGAGTGCTGAAATTACAGGCATGTACCACCACTCCCAGCTCAAAATAAAAAGTTAAAAAAAAGGCTCTGGAACCAAGCTAAGCAGGATCCCAACATTAAAGACATTCATTAAACAGGTCTCCCAAGCTCACAGAAGATACACGATCATTCCCATCTCTTAAGTGGTATGGACTAGAATAGGTTTCCATATGAAGGAAGCAACAAATATGAGAAAAATTCCGAAAACTCCTAAAGAATTTCCTTAGACAGTTCCTTCAGCAAAAAGGTCAAGAAACAAAATTCTCAAAACGAGATGTACTCACCCTGCCAAGGTCCTGGAGAAAGGTTTTGACACTGTCAGCCATCTCTTCACCACCCAGACTATCAGCTACACAGAGGAGAGAGAAATGCCCCAAAATGTCTCATCATGAAGGACCTGAAAACAGATGGAATATAGCGGAGGAAAAAGTTATAATGTCTGATGACCCTGCATTCTTGTGGCTTTAATAGGAGAGCAACAGATTCTAGAGCTAACACAGCACTAAGTGAAGCTATACCTGCAAATGCTGAAACCTAAAAGCTATAATTTTTGAATTGGGGCAAGGGGCGCGGGGGAACGGGGAGTCTTGCTAGGTTGACCAGACTGGTTCCAAACTCCTGGATTCAACCAATCCTTCTACCTCTGCCTCCTGGAGGAACTGGGAATGGCTAGGATGATAGGCACATGTGCCTGCCTGGCATAACTTTGTTTTGTTTTGAAATTACTCACCACCCTTTCACTTTTACGTAGGTAAATGTGCTCCTGGACTGGTGGACCCCTCTGAGCCTCCTACACATCCCAAATACCTTTGAGAATTAGGAGGTAAGTGGTAACATTTCAGTATCCTCTTAAGCAATTCTTACGCTTACTAGATATTCTCAAACACTCAAATGAAAATACAAGAGCAAAATAAAAATTCTTATAAAAATTACTAAATATGCCACTTGAGTCATACACAAAGCCCTCAAACACACAGCAAGGTCTAAGGTATGATGTGAAACTACCTACTGAGTTCTCCAAATAGCTATTTCTATGTTTTCTGGGGTTTTTTTTTGGCGGTACTAGGGGTTGAATTCAGGGCCTCCCACTTGCTAAGCAGGTGCTCTACCATTTGAGCCACACCTGTAGTCCTCTTTGCTTTAGTTTCAGATAGGGTCTCATATTTTGCCTAGCCTAGACTATCATCCTCCCATTTATGCTTCCCCCTTGGCTGGGATGACAGGCAATCCCTTCCCCCCTCACCCCCCTTCCCCTTGCCACCCCCAAGCTATTGGTTGAGATGGAGTCTTACTACCTTTACCTGGGTTGGCCTCCAATCTCAACACTCCTGATCTCCACTTCCTGAGAAGCTAGGATTACAGGCGCAAGTCACTGCGACAGCTGTTTTCAACTTTAAATATATTCATGTATGTATAATTTTAGTAATCATGCAAGAAACAGTGAATTTTGGTATATGTGCTACTGAAGTGAGCACATATTTTATACTAGGTCAATGTTGGGGGTGTAGCTCAGTGATACAGTACATGCTTAATATGTGTAAAGCCCTGGGTTCCATCTCTTGTGCCAAAGTAAATAAATAAATACATACATACATACGTACAAAAAGTATGGTAGGCCCCCCAGAAAGGGACATATACATATACATATGTACTATTTTTTTTTTTTTTGTGGCACTGGGGCTTGAACTCAGGGCCTCGCACTTGCTAAACATGTGCTCTACCACCTGAGCCACACCACCAGCCTTTTTTTGTGTTGGGTATTTTTGAGATAGTCTTGTGAACTATTTGACCTGGCTGGCCTTAAACTTCAATCCTCCTGATCTCTGCCTGACTCCTGAGTAGCTTGGGTTACAGGAATGAGCCACTAGTACCTGGCTTACATATGTATTCTTTAAAACAGTAAGGCTTTCTCATTTTTTCAAGTAAATGGGAAATCTAGCTTCAAAAATTAAGAAATTAAGGAGTCTTTGCTCCCATTTCCTGTGTGTAGGCAGGGAATGTTTCTTTCTTCTACTTCTCTGTACTTCATCCTGCTATACTGAATTCTTGCTAACACTTCAAAAAAAATTAAGAAATTGAGAGTTCATATGTATAAACATTCTTAAAATATTATTCTCATTTAATTCTTTTAAAGTGAATTGTAGGTGAATAGAAACCCCACTTGTGGAAAATTTTTTAAGTTAGGATTCTAAAGTTGTCAAGCTGCAGGATTCTCAATTTAAGAGACATAATTTTGCCGGGCACCAGTGGCTCTTGCCTGTAATCCTAGCTACTCAGGAAGCAGAGATCAGGAGTATTGAAGCCAGCCCAGGCAAATGGTTCTAGAGACCCTATCTCGAAAAACCCTTCACAAAAAATAGGACTGGTGGAGTGGCTCAAGGTGAAGGCCCTGAGTTCAAGCCTCAGTTCTGCAAAAAAAAAAAAAAAAAAAAGAAGTGACATAATCTTAATATAATGACAACATGAAATTCAAACTTCAAAACATAAGACACTTTCCTTAACCTTTAACCACTTCAAGAACCTCATTGACCCAACTGGACCAATGCCACTCAGAACTGGAAGAGCAGGGAGCACAGCAGTTGGAAGGCAACCTGCACAATACCACACACACCATCTGCTCCTGAGGTCAAATCCTACCCACATGTGCTCACTTCAGTTAGAGACATTTCAAGGGTTAAGAAACATCTATTAAGACTCCCACTCCTGCCTCCTAAAAACAAGCACATCAGAGTTCTAATCATGTGAGTACAGGTACAGATACTGATCTGAGGGTTGTGGTAAAGGCAGTCCACAGCCCAAGGATGAGCAGACAGTTCATAAAGACCATCAAGGATCCACTCTCTAACCAACTACTTGCTTATCTACAAATTAAGGGTATCTAAAATTCATATATTTTTTTGAGTATAGAATGCCCAACAGAGTAAAAACCTAAAATTCCCTACAGACATTAACCTACTAACAAATGAGCTATCTTGGAGGTTTGAGGAAGCCCATTACTTAGTCTGGATTTCTTACAGGGCACTGACTGGGAGTCTGAAGCATGTCTACCCTATTGAATCTAGCTAGTTAATACCTGGGTTCTGTATGCACCAACCCACAAGGTACCTACCTACTAACCAACAGTGACTTTGAAGGTCAAGTCACTTCAATTTCATACTGTTTCCAGTATCTCTCCTACAGGAGTATTTGGTATAAATTACCCAGTTTGACAAACAACTGAGGCATGGATAAAAATAACTTGCCACAATCTGAGACCACACAGACTGAATGACACAGAAGGATTCTACGAGTGAGGGTATCAAGATGCACTTAGTTCACAGCGTTTTACAGCTTGAAGAACTGAGTCTCCAAAGTTAAACGGCTTGTTCAAAGTCACAGCAAGCGAAACGCAACGGTGGCAAACTTCAGAACCCTGGTATTCCAACCTTGGGTCCAAGACATCTTTTTGCTTAAGCTCTGCAATGAGGATTTTTGTTTAACCCAAGCATCCCATAGACAAATACTATGTAACCTTTCTTAAACCTTGCCATTAAATTCCTGACAGTCATTACAGCAGATTAAGCATCTACTGAAGCACAGTCCTGCACTTTCATTTCTAAGCCACTAAGCACCAGTCCCGGAAAGCAAGAAGCCGGCACATCCCAGTCCAGGTACCGGCAAGGTATACATCCTCGCTTCTCACCGGGCTCCACGGACTGCCTCCGAACTCCGAAGTCCACTCGGACCGGGTCTCCCTCCCTATCCACAGCAGTGCACAAAGCGCGGACCGCGCTCACCTCGGGTCACAGGGACAACTAAAGACAGCCGCGCCGCACCTAGGGAGAGGCTCACTGTCGCCCGGCCCGGCTGGCTGACACTTCCCGCAGGGATCCCTTCTCGTCGGGGTCCTCCCCCGCAGTCCCTGCCGGAAACCTCACAGAGCCACTCTCCGGCCCTCCTGCCCTCACACGCCCTCCCGGCCCCGCCGCCCAGGATCCGCGATGCGACGGTCCCGTAGCCCTGCTCTCCGCAGACCACACCTACCCCGCAGCCCTGCCGCTGCGGCTCCGGCCCGGGCGCTCGCCCACCCCAGGCCCAGCCGCTCGGCTCCTCCGCGCCCGGCCACCGCTCCGCCGGGCGCTCCCAGGGCCCGGGCCGCTGCGCCCGCACTGGGCATGCCCGGGCCGCACGGGGCCGCTGGGAAGTCGGGCGGGCACCAAGCTGGGTCGCCGAGTGGGGGCGGGGCCAGCAGGACGTGGGCGGGGCCAGGCGGAGAGGAGGCGGGGCCGGAGTGCCTGGGAAATGTAGTTGGCGCTGCCGGCATCTTTCGCCGCCTCCAAAGACGCTGGGCTCCCGGATGGCGGCGCTCTCCCACACCTCCTCTCTAGTCCCTTTGTAACTGATCCCATATCTGGCGCTTTGCCTTTCCCCGCTTACCTCCACAGTGATGCTGGTCTTTCTAAAAATCCTATGAAGGCTAGTAACGATAAAACATGGATCACTCTGATTTATTTGGAGGCTTTTTTATGGTAATGGGACTTGAACTCAGGACCTTCACATCGAGCCACTCCACCAGCCCTTTTTTGTTATGGGTTTTTTCGAGATAGGGTCTCCTGAACTATTTGCCCGGGCTGGCTTCGTACCGCCATCCTCGTGATCTCTGCCTCCTGAGTAGCTAGGACTGCAGGGTGTGAGCCACCAGCACCTGGCTCTTCTTCTTCTTCTTCTTTTTATTATCATTAAAGATTACTAAACAATTCTGCGTTTAGGCCAAGTTTCACTCAAGGTAATTCAGAGCTGAGCGCCAGTGGCTCACCCGGTGGAGTGGTTCAAGGTGTAGACCCTGTGTTCGAGCCCCAGTACAGCAAAAAAATAAAAGTGAAGTTAGACGCAGGCATGGTGGCTGATGCTCCCTCCTGTGATAGGAGGATCACTTGAGTCTATAAAGTCAACACTAACTTAGAAAGACCCTGTCTAAAGAAAAGAAAAAAAAAAGTGACGTTAGAGCTAGAGATGTAACCCAGAGGTAGAATGCTAGCCTAACATAAATGAGGCACTGGAATCAATTTCTATCACGGCAAAAAAAGAAAGAAAAAAAGAATTTAGTTAAGTATAAGTCTACTCTGACATGACTGATGAAAGAAAATATTACAAATCCCAACATACATCATAAAATATAAAGAAACAAGCCAAGCATGGTGTTTCATTCCTGTAATCCCCATACTTGGAAGGCTGAAGCAGAAGGATCATGAGTTGAAAGGCAAGACTTGACTCATGCTATTCCCGATTTTCCCATTGGAAAAATTTCTGATTGCTTTTTTTTATTTAGGTGGACAGTCTTTAAAAATAAAAGGCATTCAAACTACAGTCCCACCAAAAATAAAAAAAAGAAAGACTATGATTTATTAAACATCTACTATGTACCAGGCTTTCCATATTTATTTTACAAGCTTTTAAGTGTTGTAACTGAGTTTTAAAATTCCAAGTAGGTTTGTCTGATACCAGTGCCACATCCTTTTCTTTACCATATCTGCCTTCTGTTATGGAACACTACAAGGCCTCCCAGTTAAATTTAGGCTGTGTAGTATCATCACTAAAGTAGTGGTTCTCTTGATTTCAATGTTCAGATGAATCATCAGGAAACCTTGCTCAGTACAGATTCTGATTCAGTTGATCTGGGGTGAGGGCCAAGATTCTGTAGTTCTAACAAGTTCCCAAGTGACCCCAATAAACATTTGCTGAGAACCTGTTATTAACCTTGGCTGAGTGTTTGGGACACATGAAGCCTTCACCTTGCTTCCTTCCAATGGAAAAATAGACAAAGGAAGTCAACGTAATGAAAAC